AAAGGGATAGGAAAATTTTCATTTGGGTTCACCTTCTGGGATTCCTTTTAAAGAAAATGATTAGATCAAGCAGTAATGTGGGTGATTTTGTGGTACAGATAAAAGCTGAGGTGGAGTTTGTCAACAAAATCCACTGCATTTGAAGCTGTTGACCATCCTAAATGATATGTGACTTACATCTCTCGAGATATAGATGGAATATATTAATAAGAGTATAATTCATGGAAGCAAATTTCTGACAGAAATATAAGGAAAAGCGCAGACTTAAAAAGGCAAACTTGTTTTGTCTTCTCCATTTCCTAGAATACACTGAGTGTTATGTAGGCTGTCTTATTATCCACTCAATGCATTTTAATAGGAAACTCTGCCTTATTGTCTAGATTTATTATTTATGGAGTGCAAGGGAACAATATGACATTGCATACTGCAAAGGCAACAGGCACAGCCTCTGGGAGTGGGTAATCAAAGACAAAGTTTAACAAGATTAACCTGCCCACACACTCCCCACACCATTGACATGGGCCATAACTACATTCAAAGGTTTCCTCTGCTAAGGTCTGTCCTTGCATCGATCAGGTGACTACTGAGTTATTATCTACTTAAGTTCAGGCAGATTTTGCCTCAAAATACGAGTAGCAGGTACCCTCAGACTCAAAGCCAGTGAGAGAAAAACACTGAAAATATTCCAAGGCTCAGAAAAATTGAAAAAGTACTGTCCCTATGAATACAAGTCTACCTCACTCAAAGTAGGAAACAGTTAGTAACCAATAATGAAGGGAAACAAACTACATATGAGATAAGGGTGAAATTAATCTCAATAACTTAATCAATATTTTTGTTAAGCTTCCTAGAGATTTAACTTCCAACCTGATAGATGCTTAAGAATCATTCCCCTTTATCTTCATAATTACTTAAAAATATCCTTTGTGCTCATACTACTTTGGGGGATGAAGTAAAGAGTCACATATTTGTATTAATGTCTTAAAATAATAGAGGTTCCTCCCATTACTGGTAAGGCTTGGGAGATGACACCTGTTAAGACACCTGTCCGCTACCTTCCATGTCAGAATGGTTTAGGGCACTTAACAGGCGCCCAATAAGTATTGATAGATGAAGAGCTACAACTTCTGTTTTTTTCTAGGAATTTGTATCTCCATTTTCTATCAATGGCCTTTCTATTGAAAGTAGTCTTTTTCCCCTCAGACTCGTGAAAGACAATATGACACTGAAGAATCCAAAAATGTACTTTCCTTAGGAAAAGAAACAGATTATCAGTGGTGCTGACTAAAATAAAACTAGGCTGATGTGTGAAGGTGATATGGAATCATTTCAGTTTTTTGTTTTCTTTTTAGTGAAGAGTTGCTGTGTTTTCCTTATTTATCTATTTATTTAAAGCTATTTAATTAACGGATAAGGATTGTCTACATTGAAGTTGTGCAACAAGGTGAAATAATATACAAATGCACACCATATATTAATGACCATGGTCAAAGTAATTAGCATATCTACTACCACCCATGTAATTTAAATCCTCAGAACCTACTGATCTTGTACCTGAAGATTTTGTACCCCTGGTCAGTTTTTCCTCAATTCTACCCAACCCTCTCCTGCCCCTTATCTATTGAATCTAATAGGAATCAGTTCAAAGAGATAAATAAAACCTGGAAGCTGATGCGAGGAACCTTCTGTCTCATACTTCCACCTCATCTCTAACTGAATTGTCTCCTTTTTCTTTAAACCCAATAACCGACTTGCTGTGTTTCATCTGACTCTTGAGAAATCAGTAGTCTCAAAACATAAAACCAAATGCTGTATTGAACTGAATCTCACAAAATAAAAGAAAAACAAAGTAGTTTTTGAAAGGACTCCTATGTCCTTATATATCTAAGTTATGAATAGGTACAGGTTTCTATTTTACCTGTAAATACAGAACAAAGTAGCCATACTAGACTAAGGAAAGAGGGGAGGGGGTGGACAAATATCCTGGGGAGAGACTATGAAGCCTTCTGTGAGAGAAGACACTTAAAGTGTAAAAAGGTCAAATAAAAAAGAAAATCAGATATAAGGCATAATGTTGAGGGATTTCACAGATTTAGAGATGCACAGAACAGGGATTGTATCTTGTAGCACATTTTATCAAGGAAAGGGACCGGGGAAGGGAAAAGAAGGCAGGAAAAAGGTAAAAAAAAAAAAAAAAAAGAAGAAAGAAAGAATAGAGTTTGTTCGGTAAGGATAATTCAAAGGTTCTTATGACAGATCTTCAGAGCCAGACTGTGTGAAGTCTGGAGAATAATGAAAATTAGACCTTTCACCGCAAAAGGAATTGCCTCGGATTACATGATCAGTGTATATGGAGCAGCCACCTGGGTAAACGTGTGTGTGTTTACTGTGCTCTCACCTGAGCTAGTGGTTGCACATATTAATCAAATAGCACTGCCCCTGCATCCACTTTTCTATTACCTGTCCTACTTTGTGCCAATTTCCTTTCTCTTCCCCAACAGCCCTTGTTTCACTGTTCTTCTTTAAGACATGGGATGGGGATTTGTCAAAGTCAATGAGCACTTTATTACAGTGAGAACGTTTCGTAATGAACAATTCAGCAATTTAATGAGATTCTGTAGATGTGTCTCCAGCCTGTCCATCAAGTTTCACTTCTATAAAGCACCCTGACACTAATCCTCTGGCATACCCAATCTTCACCCTGGGCTGAATATTAGATTCTTCCATGGTATATTGCATTACTAGTATAACCTCAGCAAAAAAAAAAAAATGATGAACTTAACTATACTTGAGGCACCGTAGCTGGTCTGATTTGATTTTTCTCTAGTGAGTATGAGGGAATTACTTATTTACTAAGATAAAGCAAAAGCAGTTTCTTATCGTCTGGTGAATGCCTAAATTGATAATATTTGTGTGAGTCTTTTAATTCTTTCTTGAGGACCATTTCTAAGAAAAAATACCTTTATTGCCTGTAGCTGAAATCAAGTTTCTAAAATTCTACAGTACAATATTAGTAACCTTCAGAGAGACAATTATGATAAATCGTAAGTGAACAGGACGGAATTTTCATAACACTCAGACATCTGCACCTCAACTCATTGATATCTGCCAATGCCTTCATTCATGGTCACACAGGAAGAGAGACCCACAAGGCTGTGTGGCCTCAAACCTCAATTTAGTTAGAAAAAAGTAAAGGCAACATTTATGTGACTCTTTCCCTTCAGACGTGAAGAAAATATGGCTATTTCCCTCCTGGAATTGACCAAAAGGAATTCTGATGACTTACACTGTCAGGAAAAACTACTGATCATAGAAATCCCCTCCAAAATCACATCTTCATCAACACTTTCAACTTCTGCCTGCATAAATATTCCCAGAAATACCTAAGAAGCAACGAAAACTAATGTTTTTTTTTAAAAAATCAAGACAGTATGGAAGAGTGGAGAGTTGGGGGCAGGTATAATCAGATTTGGGTTTGAAGGCTAGATTTTTTTTTTTAATTCTGAGCCAGCCACTGAAGCTTCATTCTATTAACCTGGAAGATTTGGGGTAGGGACAGGAAGTCTGCAGGCCTTTATGATAATAAGATATTAAAGTGTCCAAGACCCTAGACCTGGCTGACCCTTAGCACACTGTATTTCTTCAACAATAAAGAGGAAAGTGGCCAACTAATGAATACAAAGAAGAAATGAAGGTGTAAAGAAAATCATCTATAATTGACAGCTATAGATGACTCAGTTCTGACCAGCACTGAAATGCTCTCTGAATGTAATTAGTAAGATATCAGCTGCCATCCAATAGAATACTGAAACTTTCCTTTGTATTGCATATATAGCCATTCTGCAGATGATCATGAAATCCTGATCACTGGCTCTCTACTGTTTGTGGCATGAGAAAGTCAGCTTTAGAGAAAAGGGGAAGATGGTCTCTATTTCCCAAAGGTACCAGGTAGTTTCATTCAAGGCTAGCCAGAAGGTTAGGCAGAAGATGATGTAAATTGAGTAATCAACTTCAAAACACTAAACATCCTCCTGCACCCTAGACAAAGCAGTCACAGAATGTAAAAAGAATGCTCTGTCAGGCGAAAAGGCAAGGCTTAAGAAAATAGCAATGAATGCAGAATGCACAGAGGAGGGAGATTTTTCTCATTGCAGTGCAAGAGTTTCACTTAATTTGAGGTCCAAGCTGCTATCTACTGAAATTTTAAAAAAAAATCTTATTTTATTTTATTTATTTATTTACAGAAATCCCCAGAATTTAGCAGGCCCTGGTAGCTCATACATCTAATCCTAGCTGTTTGGGAAGTAGACATCAGGGGAATTGTGCTTTGAGGCCGATGGGGCTAAATGACTGCAAGACCACATCTCAACCAATAGCTGGGTGCGGTGGCATATATCTATCATCTTAGCTAGTGGGAGGAGTAAACTGGAGGATTGTGATCCAGGCCCACCAAGGCTTAAATGTGAGTCAGTATCTCCCAAAGAAAGCAAGGAAGTGCTGTGGTGTGGTTCAAATGGTATAATGTTTGTCTAGAGAAACCAGGGCCCTAAATTCAAGCTCTAGTACTATTTAAACAAGGAGCGAGACAGCCAAAGTGAATTCTGATTATCACCAGTCTTGAATATGCACAATTTCATTTCATAATCCATTCTTCTCATATTCAGTTGAAGAAACAAGCTGTTTTTCTCAGGAAGGAAAAAAAAAATCCCTTAACTTTTTTCTGATGTAGCCAGGTTAGGGTTTCAGGAAGCCACAGTGTATAAGGGTCTGCTGTCGATTTATACCTTCGATCTTGAGAATTAGGCTGCATAGCTAGGTCAGGTCTGAGAGCCTGGAGGCAGGTGTGCTATTCTTCAACCACTTGCTTTATCAAGGGAACAGGATTTCTAAAACTTCAACCCCACTGAGACCAAACTCAACAAAATACTGGTAGTTACTCTCCAGCCCTTCAATGCCCAGTCTCTTGGACACCAGCTGAGGAGGCAGCAGAGCTCCCTTACCTGCCAGATCTGCTCTTCACTCAGGGAAGTGAGTCGGTCGCTCTTCAGCACCTCCTGGAGCAAGCAGTAGGGAAGCATGAGGACATCCTCTGGGCGGCTCTTCAGGAGTTCAGAGAGGTGTTTCACTAAGAAATCGATCACTGCCTTCTCCAGCAAAGTGAGGTTAAAGAGGTCAGCAAGTCTGTACAGATCCAAGTAATTAAAGCTATTTAGTTCCTGGGTGCCAAAAACAAAAAATAAAAAAAAATGAAAAAAAAAAGATCTTTAGAAATCAATTCAAGAAAGAGCAAGCAAGAAATTCAGGGTTGCTTCACTGATTTTTCATTTTAGGGAAAAGAGAAGTGGGATTGGTAATATTCAAAAACAAAAAAAAAACTCAACTAGGAGGAGGCTCTTGGTGGAGGTGTGTTCTGAATGTCATCATTTTCCCTTGCCTCTTCAAACTTGGATACTTAAAGACAACTGTAAAGAACTTACTCCCAGGGAGAAGACATGGAATCAAAAGACACTGCTCTTACCTACTTAAAGCTAAGCAATATTTACTGAGTTTTTGTATTATGTCCTAAGCTGTGTTAAATGCTTAACTAGTATTTTCTCATATTTCAGCTCTTTTGAATAGGTATAAAGTCTTCATTTAGCAAATGATGAATTAAAGGCTCCCAGAGTGTTCTGGTTTTTCCCAGTGTAGTGTACCTTCCATAGTCCTTCTTTGCCCTGCTCTATGTCTTAAGAAGTTGATCTCTAAGGACAGCATTTCCTGGATTCTTTTGGCATCTTGGCTTCCAATTGGGGTTGATCAACTGGACATGGAGTGAGGGAAGACTGATGCCTAACATAAACATTCTCCACCACTGGGCTCTCATTTGGGTCTACCTCTGCTACTGGTAGCTCCCACCTGTCTAGATCTTTCTCTCAGTCTATCTCTCTTCCTGAGCTTTAGGTTTAGTAATTACACATATACACAAAAATGTCTCTAGCCCAATTCGTGGAACCTTCCCCTGGAGTTGTTGCAGAACAAACACAAAATTGTTCAATCACATTTGGTTTTTGTTTTCATTTTGTTTTCTGCTGCCAGTCCTGAGGCTCTAATTCAGGGCTGCAGCATTGTCCTTAAGCTTTTTCTGCTCAAGAACAGTACTCTACCACTTGAGCCATAGCTCTACTTCTGGCTTTTTGGGTAGTTAAATGGAGATAAGAGTTTCATGGAATTTCCTGACCGGGCTGACTTCAAACCACAATCCTGAATAGTTAGGGTTATAGGTGTGAGCCACCAGTGCCCAGTAGGCTGTAATTCTTGATTTTGGAACTCATTTCAGATTTGTGGTCCCCAGAACTTGAAAGTAATAAATTCTTGTGATATTGCATTAAGTTAAATTAAAAATAAAATATGAAGGGAGTAGAATGAAGGCAGTAATGAATTGTATATGCCACAGAACTGAGAAAAATAAGGGAACAGGTGGGTCAAAGGGGAGGAGGTGAAGCTATTGAGGACATGACATGGATCAAGATGCATTGTGGACATAAATTTCTTTTTTAAATGGCAAAAATTCAATACGTAACCTAAAATTTAAGGGAAGTGAGGGAAGGGGCGGATGTGAGGATGGGTGGCAATGGTGGAAATGGATGACATTGGTCAAGTGAACTATATTCATAAACTGCTTTGTTGAATGACAATGCCTTTGTACAACTACCTAATGAAAATAAAGATATTCAAAAAATAAAATATTTCAAAGAATAAAAAGGAACTTACTGAATGGTTTTATGAGTGACATTCCACTTTGCCACTTCTTTTAAGTTCTTCTAATCTTAATGGACATGCTTCCTTGATGACTTCATTTTTATGGTTTTATTTATTTATTTATGTTTTTGGGTCTGGTCGTGGGGCCTGGACTCTGGGCCTGGGTGCTGTCCCTCAGCTCTTCAGCTCAAGGCTAGCGCTCTATCACTTGAGCCACAGCACCACTTCCAGCTTTTTTTTTCTTTTTGCTTATGTGGTGCTGAGGAATCGAACCCAGGGCCTTGAGCATGCAAGGCAAGCGCTCTACCACTGAGCCACCTTCCCAGCCCAATTTCTATGGCTTTATTAGCATCAATTAGTTGTACAAGGGGATTTTACACAACATGTACAATTGATCACACTCCCTTCTTCGTTATTCCTTATTCCTCTTTTCTGTCTTCCCAAACCAATCTCAACAAATCTTTGTTGTGCCATTTTCACACTTTGAACATAAAAGTATATTGATCGTATTCGCTTCCTTCCCCTTCTCCATTTGTCCTCTTACCTCTCAATAGTTCCCTCATTACAGACAGGACCTGTATTACTTTTGTTTTCTTTTGCCAGTCCCAGGGCTTGACCTCAGGACCTGGGCTCTGTCCCCGAGCCTCTCTGCTCAAGGCTAGCATTCTACCACTTGAGCCACAGCACCACTCCCGGCTTTTTCTGGGTATGTAGTACTGAGGAATCAAACTCAGGGCTTCATGCATGCAAGCAAGCACTGTACCACTGAGCCACCTTCCCAGCCCCTATTTTACATTCTTGTTCTTCACTTTTTTGTAGTGTATGCTAATTCTTCAATGGGTTTCACCATGGTGTTTCACACATGCATGTACAATATATGTATATGTGTGTGTGTTTTATAACTTTTAAGAAACATTTTATCAGCGAAGACAATTGGCATGTCTACTCTTGCCATATTCCACAGTCTTTATTATTTATTTTACTAAAGGTAATATGTATATAAGGGGAACGAAATAGGGATTCACAATTAAATACACGAACTATGTATAGACTGCCTTTGTTCTTTCCCCCAAACTTTAAACTATGACTTTTAAGTAAAAATAAACTTGACTTCATGAAAGTAAAAAATACATTTTTACATGTACAGTCATAGAAATGAGGAAATCTCACATAAAAGACTCTTGACCTGAATACTTTTAGATGAAGTTTACCTACGGCAGATGAAGTGTAATTGTTCTTTGTTTGGTTAGCCTCAAACATTCAGAACTAGTGGCATCTGCCTCCACTTTTCAAAGAGTTTCTATAGGAAAGCTTTCATTTTGCCAGATTTGACTCTCTCTCCAGCCAGGCTTCCGATGATATCTGGGAAAGTGAGGGCTCTCGGTAAAACTTTGTCACTTTAGGGGCTGGGAAGGTGGCTCAGTGGTAAAGCGCTTGCCTTGCATGCCTGAGGCCCTGGGTTTGATTCCTCAGCACCAAATAAGCAAAAAGAAAAAAGCCAGAAGTGGCGCTGTGGCTCAAGTGGTAGAGTGCTAGCCTTGAGCTGAAGAGCTGAGGGACAGCGCTCAGGCCCAGAGTTCAGGCCCCACGACGGGACCCCCCCCAAAAAAACAAAAAAAAAACACAAAAAAACTTTCTCACATTAGTCCTGTAAGAATCAAAGTGCCAGACACATATGACTTCTGAAACATGCCTATTTTAAGTGGAGTGGAAATGGGCTATGTCCTAGTTTTCCCTCATTTTTACCTTATAATAATTAATTTGTGAACAATATTTTTCTAACTACATATGCCACTCAAGATGTCATAAAAAGCTATTTTACTCAACATATCAACCTATTTCCCCTCTTTCTAGTTACAATAACTCTAAAATTATTTTTATTATAAGGTAGCTTCCATAGATCTTTGAAAACTTTAATGAATATATTATAATGTGGGATGCTCAGTACCATGAGCACTAGGCACAGTGGTTATTAGACATTTGAAATTTTTCAGTCTAAACTGAAATGTGCTGTAAGTGTGAGAAACACAACTGCAAAGAGTAACAAACATCAAATGGAAAATTTAATTTTGATTATTTGTTTAAATGATTGTACTGGTTTAAATATAATTAATTTCATGTGTTTCTTTTTACTTTGTTAATTCACATAATAGGAAAGTTTAAATTACAAATGTGACTCTCACTATATTGCTGTTGGGTAGCAAATGCTATGCTAATAAAATAAGCAATTAAGAAATTGTAAAAATCACTCTCAAAGGAATCAGCAGCAGCAGCATGGCTACCTAATCATAGCTCCATATTTTAGAACCTCCCTCCTGTTCTTTTACGATGACATTTAAATTATACTTTTTATTTTTATTTATTTATTTTTGGGTCTGGTTGTGGGGCCTGAACTCTGGGCCTGGGCGCTGTCCCTCAGCTCTTCAGCTCAAGACTAGCGCTCTACCACTTGAGCCACAGTGCCACTTCCGGCCTTTTTCTTTTTGCTTATGTGGTGCCGAGGAATCGAACCCAGGGCCTCTTGCATGCAAGGCAACCACTCTACCACTAAGCCACCTTCCCAGCCCTAAATTATACTTTTTAATAGAAGTCAAATTGGAAGATTTTAGAAATCAGTATAAGATTGTTAATAGTTCTATTCGTTAATCCAATTGAAAAGTAAAAACTGTTCATCTTTAAAATAAAGTTTTTGCACAGATGATCACTAAATCCTAGTACAACTAAAATATCAAAGGGTCTACTCAAAGCTATTCAGTCAAAATAGTCTGACTTCTTCTTCAGCAAATTTTATTAAAGAATGCAGAAGTTGACAGCAGCACTAACTTTTCAAGAAAAGCTTAAGCATTCTTTTATCTTAATGTTTTTATTATCTTTAAGCAGTTGTACAAAAGAGTTGCCATTCAACAACCCACTTCATGAAAACAGTGCATCTTGATCAATGTCATCCCTTTCAATGTTCTCAGCCTCCTTCCTAATGCTCCCCTTCCCTCACTTTTCTTAAGTTTTAGGTTATGTATTGAATTTTTTTGCTATTCAACAAAGCTGTTATGTACACCTGTGTTATACCTTCAATACCTTCACCCTTCTTCAACCGACCCTTTTCCCTTATTTAAATTCTTCCTTGTTAGAGATTGGTAAATTCTAGCCTGGAAGGACACAATGAGTCATTTTTGCATACAGATCTTCCACTGTGAGCTTTGAGGCTATCTCCCTGGGTTCACAAAAACATCTATGAAGCATCTTTATCTGCTCCAGAGCCTTGGATATCATCTGGGGCCCATTAAACTGCTCTGAAGTCATTCTAAAGCCTGATGTGGTGTCAGTGCCTTTCAAGTATTACAGGCCAAGCCCAAGGGGTGGCCTGGGTTCTGAGGCAGGGAGCAGCACCATGGCATACAGAGAAAGCTGAGTGTGGGCTGCCAAGCTCTACAAAAATAACAATGATGGGCATGGAGCCAAGGGGAACTTTCTTCCCACC